TGCGTCGCAATGTAATTCTGTAATTGCCGTAGGACAGTAAATTGCCAGAATTGGCTTATCAGATAAATAGGCTTTGAGTGTATCAAACGCGTCATTCTCCTCGTTACCAAACTTAAATGCGGCGTCCTTTTTTAGCAAATCATACAACGGTTTTGCCACCGTTGCAAAATTTTGGAATAAATCGCCTAAAATAACTCGCTAATCCTATAAAACGCTGAACCTGCTTCGTATTCCGTGGAACAGGGTAATTAACGACAGATTCGATGTTCGCTGCGCTTGGCTGAATACCGCTCTCGCTGATAGAATACCTAAGATACACAATTTCGCTGTATAGGAATGAGCATTTATCCAACCGAAATCTGAGTCCGTGGCGTCGCGCCGTACCAAATACGAGTACTTCCCGTAGAATATCGAGATGCTCCTCCATTTCTTCCGTAGCGACCAAGATATCGTCCATATATATCAAAACTTTATTTTTTGCTATCAAAGATCTAAATACATTATAAACGTATCTCTGAAAAACTCGCGGAGCGTTCGTGAGCCCAAATGGCATTTTTAAATATTCGTATTGCCCTAATGGTGTTATGAAGGAAGTATATTTGACGGAAGACTCAGCTACTTTAATGTGATGAAATCCGTTTTTAAGATCTAAACAACTGTAAATCTTTTTTCTTTTTAAATGGTCCAGATGATCGTCAATCATGGGTGTCGGAAAATTATCTTTTACCGTTATCTTATTTAGTTCCCGATAATCGACACACAGTCTCAGATTTCCGTCTTTTTTCCGTACAAGCACAATCGGACTTGCATGAGGGGAATTGCTCTCGCGGATTACACCGTCCTCGATCAGGTCGTCAAGGATAACGCGCAGTTTCTCTTTCTCTGCATACACTCGGCGTGCTCGAAAACTAATCGGTTGTTCATGCTTTACACATATTTTTATTTCGGGTTCGCTTATCGGTGACTCGAACTCTACTTTCGTCAGATACGCGTCGTTATATATTTGCGTCAACTTATTAACCGCGTCGTGAGAAACACCTGGGTTAATTTTTAATTCGACTCTGTTCGATAGTTGCTCACCACAGTCGATATGCATGATCTGATCGACAAAGCTATCCGTCTCGGCCGCGGCGTCGAACACATTCCGCGAGATCTTAAACGTTTGATTTATTATTATGCTTATCGCGGGATTGGAAGTAAAATCTCTCCCTAATAGAACGGTTCCGTTCATCGTCGTTTCCGGTACAACAAAAAATCTCATGTGGACGTCAACACCATCCACTCTAACGGACCCTTCGAAAATACCTAATATTTTCAGCGTTAACGCCACTAAACCGATAGCCATCTTCTGCAACCGGAACGCGACAATCAATCGGTACGCACTCGGATTTGATTAAACTAATTGGCGATCCCGTATCGATAATCGCCAAAAAGGAATACTGACGCGTTCTTCCCTCATCGTCGGAAATTGCGTAACTCACGGGTACCAAGTACGGCTCGCCCCCAATGGTCGGCTGGATTAGATTCATTTCGGATGAGAGTTTACTCGTATTTGCCTCTTCTGCCGAACTGCCCGTTTCCGTCGCACGCTGGCCCACGTTTCCTTCTGCCGTGACTCGTGGTTTCCTGCAGTCAGCCGCGCGATGTCCCGTTCCTCCACAATTGAAACATCCGATCAGTTTCCTTTGTCCTTGGTTTGTTTCTGCGCTCTCGGCCGTGGTTGGCTTTGTTTCTTTTATGGGCTTCTGTTGGCCTTTGGTGACATTGCTTCGTTCGAATTTCGTATGGCATCTCAGGGTAACGCTTTCGAATGCCTCTATCAAATCGGCTGCTTCTTTAAAGCGATTCTCGCTTGGTCTCGCAGCCTCGGATCCGGTATGCCGTCAACGACATACTCGATTAATTCATCCACCTCAATCGGCACTCGATTAGCCAAGATCACTTTACTATGGTAGTACTCGCTGAAGGATTCGCCAGTCTGCCAGACTCGTCGCTCAAAATCTCTTCTTAGGGCCATTTTACTTGGACGATGATCGAACATCTGCTTCATTTTCTTCAAGAGGTCTACTGTGCTCGAAGTTATATGTTCCGGTTTTGAGTGAAACCAACTGAGAGCTTTTCCCTTCAGTTTCGAGCTAATCAGCATTCTCATGGCATTGTCGTCCAGGCCGTAAGTGTCTCGTAGCAGCTCGACCTGCTGCTTCCACTTCCAAAACTCGTTACCTGTGCCGTCAAATTCGCTGAGCAGATCTCGGAGGCTCCTTATGTTGCTGCCACCGAAATCGCTCATGCTGGGACTTCTCGCGTCGCTCGTTGCTGCTCGGTTCCTCAAATCAGCCTCTCTCCTCATCAATTCGAGTTCACACCGAAGCAGATCCCGCTCCCGTCGCATGTGTTCGAGCTCACGGTCGAGATTTTCACTCTGCTGCACTGCTCCTGCGTCCGTACCGCAGCTGTTGTTGAGGCCATCTCCCTCGTGAGCAGTGCCCAGAGCGTCAGGATCATTTTCCTGTAGCCTTAGAACTAGATCAGCCTTATTTCCGGTCAACGGGAGGCCCTTCGCACGGAGTATCTCCTTAAGTTGGACAACGCTGTGGTCGGTGGACATCCTCTCAGTCCAATAAGCCTCCAACGACACGAAACGCCCTCACCGATTTCCCGCTCACGGCAAAACCGTCACGATATGTATTCGCGCGCGATAACTTGTGCAACACGCACCACGCTGAATTAACCGTATCGAAACGCGCCAGACACACGGTGATTCCGAGTCGTTAGGACTTCTCCGCGACGCACTCCGCGCTCTTCCAACTCCTACTTCCGTTACTTTGCAGACTCGATCCCACTTCTGAAGCTGTAGGGGTCTTCCCGGGATTTTAGGCTGGATCACAAGTAAAACTCGCCCGAAATAATAATCAGCGTTTATTAGAACACTCGAACAATTTCATGTACACGCTAATATAATGTTACGCGACACCAGAGCCTTTTACACGACTCGCTTTACTTGAGTCTCTTTGTCCGAGTCTCCTTCGGCGACCGACACACGGTGTATATATATTTGTCATCTTCGCCGTTACCTCCCGATTATTAAGTCACGCGACCGTCACATCGCTTTCAAAGACGAGGAACGAGGGAAAGCGATGAGTCGGGCAAATAATAAAATATCAAACAATATCTCACGTCGGACGGTTTCCTACAATTGACTGTACCACTGATTGTAACTGACACTGAACTGTATTACAAATTGAAATACAACTGCCGAACTCGCAAGATTAGACTGCTGGTCTGAATCCCGTCTCGAAGGAGAGTGAGCTCCTTTCCGCGCGCGTGGAGCACGTGCGCTCGCTCCGCGTCGCCGCGCATGCATTGTTCGTAGCGCCCGCTAAGTGGCCGCTCGGGCCGCGCTGGCAGCGTGCCGCGCGGTCAGCTGTGTCGTCGCTGTGCGCCGGCGCATTACCGCCGATATCTTACAGTAGCATAAGATAGAGTAGGGACTTGTATCATATTAGCCTAGGGAAGTTGTTATGAAATAAAGAGAAGTGAGGTGAAACCGACAACGTGTTGATCTAATAGCCAGTTCCCGCCGCCCGGACCCCGGACAATCCCGCGAGCTATCCGTAGCCAGTGTTGCCAGCCGAGAACGTTAGCACGGTCGCTGCAGCG